ATAGAAAATGTACTGATAAAATATGTTTGTCCTAATTAGTATCTGTCACACTTGATATATTATATGGATCGAACGAAATAAAACATGACGGTGGATCTGTATATGATGATTGTGGCATATTCAACAATGATGCACATGTTGTCGGAGGAGAGACAGTCATATTAGGTTCTATGTAGTAAAAATTGTTGATAATGTAAACGAATTAGAAGAGCATGCGGGTGGATTATCAATATCTTTTAGCAAATCTAAACGGTAGTTCGAGAACATGCTACGACTGCCAGTTTCTTCATATGTGTTTTAAAACATACCTTGCACAGTAGATACTTTTTTCTTCGATTTTGGTTTGCGAGCAGAGCGTTTCGGCGTTGATGAGGTCACGAGCAGTTTTTCTCTCAATGATTTTTGCTTTTTTGCACGCTCTTCTATCTCTGTTATTTGTTCCAAAGCTTGTTTAGTTGTTAGAAGTTGACCGGTTTCTCGATCTAAAGCAATTCTTTTCGATGATGGTTGGTCAGAAAGGTCGAAGTGAACGAAGACTGTTTCGAATAGCTGTTGTTAGACTTAATGGTAATGATAAAGCTGTAGTTTCAGTAGTTAAAATGCTGTTGGATGTGATAATTCTAACAATGCATCCACTAGAAACGAAAATAGTTGGATAAAAGAGAATTTCTAATGAAACAGTTACCGGACCTTACAATCATGATCCAAGACACTACTATTTATTTGCGGAATAACATCCTCCGATCGATCATCCGATAAACCATCTAAACAGAATGAACCATGTGAAACGACTCTCAACAGTTGCAAATTGAGTTATCAGTTACCGTTATGATCCCAGGCACTTGTATTTAGATTTGGTATTTTATTAATCACACCGTTAAATTCTGATGGTGCTGAATAAAACATACATTCTGTGATAATAAGTGAGTTTTACAGCTTTCTCTTACCACTACGATCCCTTAAATGAGTATTTGAATCTGCTTTGGTTGTCATGCGTAGTGTCGATGATTTTTCTTAAAGAGAATATCTATCGTCATATTTAGTCAGTTATTTGAGGGTCCCTGTTGGCACTTACTTGCAAAAAGTAATTGCGTAGGAGACAGTGGCCTAGAAAGAACTTTGTCTTTCGCTTTTTCTATCTCAATTGTATTTGATGGTTGATCTCTGGTAGTAGCAGTAATATCAGTTTCAATCTGTTGATTACATTTCAAAATCTTCTGAGAATTGATGGACGTTTTATCTAGTGGATATATCCCAGAATTCATAAAGCGTTTTGATGATATTAACTTTTCTAACAACTGTTGATTTAAATAGTTTATTGATTAATGTTTGAAGCACTTTTTTCGATGTATCTTTATGGCCGGATGTTCGAAAATATTCATTAAGAATTTCATGATCTTTCTGTTTGATTGATTTAAATAGAGTCACGTCAAGTGATTGGAGAATACGTGTCGAATTTGGTGGTAAAGACAACAGAACAATATCATTTTCAGTTGCCAGTTTCATTGTGCGCACACTATGATGAAATGAATGTCCTTCTAATATGAGCAGAATTGGTTTTGGGGTTGTGTTTGTAACTTGTGGAATAAACAAATTTATAAACCATTCATAAAATGAATTTTTTTCCATACAACCACGTTCACTGATGTTATAAGCCACTCTTTTCGACTCTCGAATAGATACAGCGGATATTATAGAAAAGTAACAAACTGTTTTTCAACTTACCATTGATGCACAAATCAGCATATTGCTTCTTCAATTTATAAACTATATATATTGGTAATATAAGTCTACCAGCATTAACACAAAATAATACAGTATGAAAGGATTTTCAGCTGTGTTTTTTGTATTGAAATTTTGTTAACTAACTACAGCAACTGTTTTTATGTTCGTTCTACCAGCAAACCCGAACTCATCGCAAGTGAAAACCTGAGAGAGTCTGTCCATCAAATTATCGGTAGCAAATACATCTTCTAATAATTTAAACCATTTGTTGATTGTTGTCATTGTAATCTTCGCATATTTTGATGTAAGAGGGATAGGCGTAGCTATTTTCAATTCTGCATGACACATCATAAAAGAATAACACCGCTCAATGTCTGGCTTGCCATTTTGAAATGACTTCTCTTTTCCTAATTCTTCAGCACAATATGTTGCCATTTTAATTAGTTCCTTTGGTGTTACCGGTTCTTCCCATTCCTAAACAAAAACGAGCAAA